ACTACAGCAAGGAGTTCAACCACTACAGCAAGGAGTTCAACCACTACTAGCTCACTGGCAACCACTACAAGAAACAACGGATCACAAGTTCAACATAAGAATACAGTAATTCGTGTTATTTCAATCGCGTTAATGTTTTGTCTAATTCATCATAGATTTTTTTGGCATGAGCAAATGAAATAAGGAAAAAAATATAAAGGCATCTGCTTCTGCTTTCAATGTTGTTTGTGACTCTCTACAAATCATTCAAGCAGTTATATTATAATTTCATTTTCAATTTATTTTAACAGCAATAAAGCTCTGATATTTGAACTATTCTTCAATCTGATAATTATGAAAAAAGAAAATGTAATAACATATCATAATTAAGCGTGAAAATTGTTTTGAAATGCGAGTAGCCCTCATCAAAACAAATGAAAACTATAAGAATAGGGCACACTGAAAAAAAAATCCGTAGAATGATCAACGTTTAAAGCGTTTATCAATTTGCAACGGATGAAATACTCTTTTCTGCCATTTATCAAAATGTGCTAAACTCTTTTATCTATACCCAAAAATAGTGAAAAAGAAAGGATTCATCAGCTGTAAATACACGTATAAAAAGGTTTATCAGAGCATTTATATGATTGAAAAACGGTTAAAGGGTATGTTATCCGTTACAAAACGAACAACGGGTTCATTAAAAGGTAATTCAGATAGTTGATGAGTTCTATCAACCAGCAACGGGTAGATTACAAGGTAGTTCAGATGGTTGATAAATTTCATCAACTAGCAACGGGAAGATCAAAAGGTAGTTCAGACGGTTGATAAGTTAAATCAACTCGTAATGGGTTCATCAGAAGGTACCTCAAGCAGTTGATGAGTTTTATCAACTAGGGTGTGGGTGTGGATGGGAGTGGGTGTGTGGGTGTGGATGCGGGTGTGGGTATGGAGTAGGTGTGGGTATGGGGTAGGTGTGAGGGTGTGGGTGTGCATATGAGTGTGTGGGTGTGGAGTGTGGGGTGGGGGGTGTGGATGTGCGAATGAAGACAAGATTCATACCCACACCCACACCCACACCCACACCCACACCCACACCCACACCCACACCCACACCCCACACCCACCCACACCCCACACTCACACCCACACCCCACACCCCACACCCACCCACACCCCACACTCACACCCACACCCACACCCTTTCTCTTATCGACAAAAATTGAAAAGACTGACAAGTACTTAATCACATCACTTGCGACTTTCGATTTTTTCGCTGACCATTGATTAACCTGTGCAAGCTTGTTTTTTATCATGTCCTATTTTAGATAGAAAGTGATTAGCATTAATAAACAGAAAATTTTATACGCTACACTTCTAGCATCTTCAAAAGAATCGTACTGCTGTTACTAAGAATTAAAAAATTTGAGATTAACATCTAGAGAAATTATGAGAAACGAGGAGAAGTTAATGAAAATAAAAACAATGTCGCACAAATTAGAAATCAGTTTGTTCCTCCTTGGTGCTATTTACCGCATTTATCATAAAGATTTGTGCTCATTATCGTGTAAATACATTTTCAATATAGATACTTATATTATAAAATTTTCACGTATGGAAAATTCGGGAATTTCGCTCTATCCCATCCCCACCCTCACCCAAAAACAGTCCACGCCTCGTTGCGAGCTGTGATAGTGACATTCGCATGCCTAAACTATGCTTCAGTATGTCAGAGGCATCTCCAGAATCATAGTTGTATGTCACAGCTTAACATGGTCTCTTAGGTGTACGGATTAACTAATTCCACGCAATCGTTGTTTGAGACGTCTGAACGCAAATAAAAATTCTTTCTTATACACGTTTGAAGGTAGAACAAATGTTATGAATGATACTAATGCAGGAATAAATGAAACGAAATAACCGAATAGAAAAAACCATGGTTCTCGAAATGATTTCATACAACCTGGCAGTAATGAAATAATCAATCGAGGTAATGATAAAATAACGAGAACTATAGGAGCTACAAGAAGATGTTTATGTGTATTCAATTGTTTTCGAAAATATTTTTGAAATTTTTGATGAGAACGAGAAATATTTCGCTGTTGTGCCAGTCTTATAATAATAAGTAGTGCTGACATAAAATTTATCAAGAATGGAGTAAGAAAATGAAACAAATAAAATGATGAGTTAAATATTTGTAATAATGAAGAATATTTAACTACGCACCAAGTACGTTGATCTTCTTCATCATCAACAAGATGTCGAGAAATTGGATCTTGTATCGTTGTAATAATATTGAATAAAAGAAGAATCACAACTATCCATTTAGATATATGTTTACTTTTTATATTATCAAATCGAACACCTTTTACAATCATAATAACTCGTTCCAGAGATACACAAGCATTTAACCAACTCTCCATATTTAAAGATATACGTAGCAGAAAATCAATCAATAAGCATTGTATGAAGAGAATCGAGCGATTGGTGATGATTCTTTTTTGAGAAAGAATAAGTAACCAAAACTTCAAAGAAAAAATAATAATTATTAGTATTGATGTTATTGAAGAATTAAATAAATAAAGCCCAGAGGCACTATCACGAGATTTTTTAGTTTGAAAAGTAAGTATGGAAAGAACACCATTAATAAAACCGAGAATAGTCAATAATAATACAATAGAAATACTAATTCGTACGACAAGTGAATGATTATTAGGACGAATATGAGGACCAAGAACAAGATCTAATGAAAGACCAAATCCTTTTGATGGAAATTGACATCGACTGCCATAAAAACAATCGGTACATTCACACATTGATGATGTTGGACAAACAATATCGTTTTGATAGCAACGACCTCCATTTTGACAGTAACTATATCCATGACAGTTATATGTCATATTGTGATTAAAAATAAAACAATTAGGTGTATCATTATTATAACAATAACATATATAACTATCATCATAAAAACATAATTTTTTTTGTTGTTGACAGACAATTGGATAATGCTTGATACGTCGAAGTTGATGAAGTTTGGTTATAGTAACATCAAATAATTCATCAATAGACGGACATCGATGAGAGGGCTTGATGGTTTTTCTGATAATTTCACCTGATGTATATGTATATTGTAAATGTGCGAAATAAAGAGTATCAAAAAATTCAACAAATATAAAATGAAACATCGATGATATATAAACTGTTGTTGATGATTGATCAACAGGAATCTTCCCAAATGTTGTTGTACGACTTTCAGGTTTATCACCATGAGCAGTGATAAAATGGAGCAGAATAGCAGAAGGAATCGGCAGATTTTCTAATAATATATCTATTTTTGTATCTTTCACCTCACAATTTGTACCAGAGTAACCTTTCATACAAATACAGAAAGGCTTAAGACTTGGCATTCGCTCGTCTCTTACTATACAAGTACCTCGATTTTGACACATACTGTCAGAACAAGAAATACGTTTTAGATAACAACGAGATCCAAATTTATTTAATGGGCAAACACAAATCGGTCGCTCATTAGTTATTCCGACGGTTAATGAGTCTGGTGCACAGCGAAATTTCGAAGAACTAACTGTCACACATTGTTTTCCTGACCATCCATCGTTACATTTACAAAAGATTTCATCAGAGTTCACAAATTTCAAACATTGACCATGAGATCCACAATTCAAAGCATGACAAATAGGTATTACTTGATGTACGGGAATAATGAGAATAATTGCCATTCGATTAACAGGTAGAAAAGGAAAGATAATAGGATAATTCCAACTTCCATGATATTCCATTGAATGTTGATCATACACATTAATGCGGACTGAATAATTTTGTGTTCTATCTTTAGGTCGTGTTGAATACAAAAGATTAACATGATATTTTTTACCACAATCTTGTACAGAAATAAACTCGATTTGATCATACGATTCAATCGTTTGATATTCATTATTTATAAGTAGAAAGACAATAGTAAACATAGTTGTCCAATGGCTTACTGTACGAATTTGAATGGTGAGAGAAACACGTTGATTCTGATATTCGCATGTGTGACCATAATAGGCAGGAGGACAAAGACATTTATATGTATTACTGTCCCTACTGATTACACGAACAGTCAATCCCCGTTTACATTGCCGTGTCCATTTAAAATTATCTTTGAAACTGAAATTGTTTTCAATCGAAATTACTTTTTGCTTGGAATGATGTTTTTTTTCTGAGCCCAAAGCCAACTTAGAATTATTAAAATCATCCAGTCTAAAATAGCTTTTGATCTGCAAAGATACATTATACAAACCACAGAAAAAGTTCTCTTCTTCTGATCGATTGAAATCGTGCACATCATTCGAGCATAAGCGTTTGAATCCGGTTAAATAATTTTGACAAAATTTTTCATCATCACCGAATAAACAATCGTTTTCTTTGTTACATAATAAATTTACTCTGAGACAAGTTTTTGCTGAAATATTTGCGCATCGAAAAATATATGAATTTGATAATCCATCTTGACACTGCTGTATTTCATCTGTTCCTCCTATACAATCAATGACACCATCACCGGCTTTTGTTATAGGTAAACAGCCAAGCTTTAACGTAACCGGTGATACACACAAATGATGCAAAGATGGACATTTGGATGGTTTACAATTCAATTCATCTAAACCATTTTTACAGCTCCAATACATATCGCACCGACTATAAATATTATTGCAAGGCCAATGTTCACATTCAGTTTCATCCGAATGATACCGTTCATCAATCAATGTGGGACCAACTTCTCTGATTCCATTACAAATGTGTGAGAAGAAATTATATTTTTGAATTTGATAACTCGACCAAAAGTTGTTAAAATCAATCAAAGATAGACTGGGCCTGTGAAAATCAGATATGAGTTCAGTTATTCTCTCGTCCTGACCATCCGGACAGTCTTTAAATAGGTCCATCATTCGAAATGGTGCTACACATATGGTAGTGTTATTGATATTCTTCTTATCACATTTGAATCGATATTCATTTTTCAGTGTACATGCATCAGCAATCTCATCATCATTTCCATGACAATCTCGACGTCCATCGACAAGACGGTGTCTGGAAATAAATTTCGATGAATTAGTGCATTGAAATATTTCCGAATGATTGCGAAGGTGTTCATACGCCGATTGATGAATTGACATACAAGCTTCAAATGTATGTTTTACTTCGAAAATTATAGTTTGCCAGTAAAAGGTGGGCAAATTATTATGTTTGTTTAATACAGTTTCATTATATCGGCGACATGTTCGACCAATAATGGGCACTGGTGCTGGTAGAAAATGAATACACAATGATTCATTATAGCAAACGTAACTAGGAGGAATTTTTTTTTTGGATATATATTCTAAATCATCGCTCGCATAAATAAAATAGACATGATTAAAAGCAACGGGAGATGCAGGAAATTCAAACAATTGTGGGCAGAACATTTTAATCACGGTACGACACGCATCATATTGACAAAATTGATCACAATCAACATTATACATGGCGGGTGGAACAATTTTAGTAATGCAAATCATGACCAATACACATTTATGCGACAAATTCGTGTTTTCATCGATCATGGCTTTTACCCAAAGAAGATCTCGTCCGTTTTGACACTGATGATGCACAATCTGATTTGCCTGCACACATTGTCCATCTCCACATGCAAATGATGATGTGTGTCGCAGTAGCGGACACATGTGATCTTCACATCGCATAGATGGATCGCTGGCACATTTAAGGTATGGAAGATAATGTACAAGTTCATCTGTGCCATCAATACATTCCGGATTCCATAAATCATCTAATAAATACTCTTTCGGTATACATTGACCATTGTGACATCGATATTCATGTTCGTCACATTCATTAGCTTCCATCTCCCAACAATCCTTTTCATCAATTCCATTCAAACAGTCTGTGTGTCCATCGCAAATTTCACGCCAATCAAGACATATTGGGTCTGGTCCGCGATTACAGTCTAGATAAGTGTAACATGTGAAATTCTCGATGGTTTTCGATTCTTGTTTAGCCACAAAAATAGCTTCGACAATGTCGGCTACTGAATAATCGATTCCGAAATCAAACGTATATTGACAAAAGGCACCAAACCAAGGTGATGTACAATTATAAAAGAATAATAATTCACCATTATTAGATAGCTCATTCAAATAAAGTTCATACTCTTCTGCAACATCAATTGGCGCCGACCATGTATATAATTGATAGCTACTAACACGTCTCGAACGCAATTGTTCAAATGTAAAGTTCGAGTGTTGTTCGATAGACAATGTTGGATCAAATTTGGATTGATTTGTATTAATCGATCGTACACAATATGGAATGATTTGATAGACAGGAATTATCGGTGAGTGTTTGAAACTAGTTATTCTGTCTATATAATCCTGCACGTGATAATACATGCAATCGTGATCCCATTCATTATCGTTAAATAACTCCGTATTGTATAAGTTAAATTGAACATTTTCACACATCAAAATCATGGACAGTAACAAAAGCGCTCGTCTATACTTTAACATCATATTACGAATAATCATCTTCTCTCAGTAGAGTGAAGAGGAATAACAAAACTCGAAGTACTGTTATAAAATAGTGAGTGTTGGAATTCTCTTATTATTTCATGACGCTTTTTTTCATCGACACTATTATAGAAGAGAAAAACGACACTCAGTGTAAATGATGTGAGCTCTTAATATATACTTTTTGTCTGTTTGTGAATATGTCAGACTGTCGATCACGATATAAGATTCTGACATTAAATATATAGTGCCATATGTCATTTATTCTGAGTTGTGGATTTTTATATTGATCTCTCTTATTATTATTTTAGATATTATCAGAAAATGTGTGTTTTAGATAAACGAATGTCTCGGAATAAAATATTTAATCTATATATACCCAGTCAAAAAAGTATGAGAATACATCCGATTCCGCGATGTTGAACATTCCGGAATCAGTTTCCGTCCCGGAATCTATTCCACCGATTCCGGAACTAAATTCAACCACGCCACAATCCGATTCCGGAATCAATTAAAACAGTTCCTATCGATTCCGGAATCGCTCAACCTTGGCATAACTCTCATCGGCTGAGGCTTATAACTGCATCTAATTCCGGGTATCGGACGGATCCGAAATCGGGTGGGTGTGGGTGTGGGTGTGGGTGTGGGTGTGGGTGTGGGTGGGGTGGGTGTGGGTGTGGGGTGTGGGTGTGGGTGTGGGTGAGGGTGTGGGTGTGTGGGTGGGGTGTGGGTGTGGGTGTGTGGGTGGGGAGTGGGGTGTGGGTGTAAGAGAAAAAGAAACACGCCACACCCACACCCACACCCACACCCGTGTAGACTCTAATGAACTATGGATCCTGCAAAAATCCCATCGATTAACATACTTTCTTTCGTCTCGAAAATTTATTGAAAAATCTTACTGCAGTGCTCTTATTCCGAAGGTCGGGAAGCCAATTTTTCGCGTTCAAAGAAAGCATGGAAATCTGTGATATGTTTCTCACAGTTATAGTTCATTAGAGTCTACACGATGTGCTATGTTTCAGCTGATTTCAAGATCTCGACTGTATCGGCCCCTGTGGTCCCCCACGACATTTTATTGAATTTTTTAGTATTTTTAATTTTTGACATTGTTGCACAATTTTTCTCTTACTTTTGAGATTCTCAATCGATAGAGATTGAAAAGTTGCACTAATGAGCGAAATTTGACGTTGCGGCAAGACTCACTTCATGTCGAATGGAAACTAATACAGCAAAAATAGGCTTATTTTAGCCATAATTCGGACTTTTGATCCTGTTGCACAACTTTTTCTTCTGTTTAGAGGTCACCAGCAGATAGAGCTTGCAAAGCTACCCATAAGTTCAAATTTTGAGGTTGCGGCAAGGTTGGCTTCATGAGAAACCAGGAGGAGAAAAATCGGTATATAGATAAAAGGATCGGATTCAGCCCCAGAATCCCCATCTATTTTTCGAAGGTAACGTTTTTGCGTCCTAAAAAGTGCAGATTCGTAAAGAGCTCGAAATTTCAGGCATGAAAAAGTATTTTCCGCAGAATTTCAAAGAATTACTATTCCATAGTAGAGTACTGCACGGGTACAACTTTTCGTACCCGTACCCGACCCGAAGAAGAATTATTTACCCGTACCCTACCCGTACCCGTTAGTTTCACATCCGTACCCTACCCGTACCCGTTAGTTTCGTACCCGTACCCTACTCGTACCCGTTGATTTGGTACCCGTACCCTACTCATATCTTCTCTTACTCGTGACCGTAACTCCAATATTCACAATGGATCGAAACTTTATCATATTTTTGACTAGTAAAATGAGTTGTAATTTTAGGTGCTATAACAGGTCTTATTTTGAAATTTTCATAATGAAGCTTAAGTGTTTTAGAACCAGTTTTTTGTGCATCGTAAGATAGAATTGTTTTACATTGAATACATGTTACAAAAGGAATAATATTTTCTTTTCCATCTTGAATACGTTTGAATGACTGCCACCATCCAGCACTAGCACCTGTTGGTTTATCACAAGACTTAAATTCACCACTATCTAACTTTTTTTTAATTGAATCTTTATCGATCACAGACATAATTAATATACCAAAATTCACAAAAAACTCAATATATCAAGATGAAATAAAGTATCAATAAATGAAAGTATTTATCATTTTTTTCGAACGGTTTCATATACATCGTTGATAGTTTCACAGAACGACCAATCATCTGTGTGATCAAGTATGTCGCTACAAAACGGTAACATTAAAGTTGAGTATAACGGTTCTTACCCATATCCGTTAATTTCGTACCCGTACCCGTTAATTCCGCACCCGTACCCTACCCGTACCCGTTAATGTCATACCCGTACCCGGGTACGGGTACCCGACCCGCGGGTTGCAGTACTCTATTCCATAGGGCTTCAAATAGTCGAAAATAGGGTATCTTGAGTGATCAGGACCATTTAAGGAAGAAAACATTTTCTAGTGGTTTTATTTTGATTTTCGTAATCAGCACCCTTGAATCTATAGTTCCACTTGGTTTTGAATCAAGAAAAACAAAATTTTGTTTTTCACGATATCTGGGAGGGACTCCAGGGACGAAAACCATGGATGTCATTTTTTAGGGAATAAAGTTGAAAAATATGATCAGGATCGAATGCTTATTAAAGCCTCCCAGGACGAGGATTACGACAGTCGTAAACGATCGTATACGACGTCGTATCCGATCGTTTACGGTCGTATACGGTGTAAATTACGATCGTATACGACCGTATTTCGCCGTATTACTTGCCGCCAGAATTACGATCGTATATCGTCGTGTCGTATACGACGAAGTACGACGTCTATACGACCACCGTAAACGATCGTATACAATGTCGTTTGTCATCGTATTCCACAGCACATTTTCGTACCTCTCCCTCTTTCTCACCTACCCCTCCAACTACAATGGCTACAAGCTATTTGTATAAAAATGGGGTTGCCCAGTCTGACCGGATACCCCATTGATACTTTTTTTCTATTGTAAGGATAAAACATACTATTGTTCGGATCATATGAGAGAGGATCATAGATAACCTCTAGATTCGCCCGAACATTACCATGTTTTATCCTTACAACAGTAGAGAAACACTGCCAGCTGATTTGTGAGCTCGTAACTTTTCTCTACTATTGTAAGGATAAAACATAGTATTGTTCGGACCAATCTAGAGGTTATCTATGATCCTCTCTCATATGATCCGAACAATAGTATGTTATATCCTTATAATAGAAAAAAAATATCAATGGGGTATCCGGCCAGACTGGGCAACCCCAAATGTACATCATTTAATTTTTAACGCATTGATATTTACATTTGGAGAAGCTGTTCAATCGAACCTAAATAAAAAACAAAAATAATAATTTATATTTTAAATTCATACTTACATTTCGATCAGTTGTTGAGTCGGACTAAATAAAAAAAACAATCATTTATATTTTAATTTGATACTTACATTTTAATAAATTGTTGAATCAAACTTAAATGAGAAACAAATAACAATTTATATTTTAAATTCATACTTACATTTCAATAGATTGTTGAATCGCACCTAAATAAAAAAATAATCATTTATATTTTAAATTGATACTTACGTTTCGATAAATTGTCGAATTGAACCTAAATAAAAAAAAGAAAGAAAAATTTATATTTTAAATTCATACTTACATTTTGATAAATTGTTGAACCGAACCTAAACAGAAAACAAATAATAATTGATATTTTAGATTTATATTTACATTTCGATCAGTTGTTGAATCGCACCTAAATAAAAAAACTAATAATTTATGTTTTAATTTGATACTTACATTTCAATAAATTGTTGAATTGAACCTAAAGGAGAAACAAATAATAATTTATACTTTAAATTCATACTTACATTTCGATCAGCTGTTGAATCGCACATAAATAAAAAAAATAGTTTATATTTTAATTTGATACTTACATTTCAATAAATTGTTGAATTGAACCTAAATGAGAAACAAATAATAATTTATACTTTAAATTCACACTTACATTTCGATCAGCTGTTGAATCGTACATAAATAAAAAAAATAGTTTATACTTTAATTTGATATTTACATTTCGATAAATTGTTGAATTGAACCTAAACAAAAAACAAATAATAATTTATATTTTAAATTCATACTTACATTTCAATAGATTGTTGAATCGCATCTAAATAAAAAATAATCATTTATATTTTAAATTGATACTTACGTTTCGGTAAATTGTCGAATTGAACCTAAATAAAAAAGAAAGAAAAATTTATATTTTAAATTCATACTTACATTTTGATACATTATTGAATCGAACCTACATAAAAAAATAATAATTTATATTTTAAATTGATACCTACATTTTGATAAGTTGTTGAATGGAACTTAAATAAAAAAAAATAATAATTTATATTTTAACGTGATAATCACATGTCGAAAAGCTGTTGGATCGAACCTAAATAAAAAAATAGTTCTGTTTAATGCTTTGAGTATCAGTTATGACGATTAATGAAAGGCTTTGGATTGGTGTCTTTTGGTGCAAAACTGAAAAAAGACAGATTGAAAAATCAAGCTAGAACTGAATATTAATGGCTTATACGGAAGCGAAAATAGTTAAATCAATGTACAATTTTCTCAATAGTTCGAAGAACACTTCTAACACATCGACTGGGGAGAATCCAAGGGGGAAAAAGCGGATCCTGGATCCTCGGATCCTGGTGGATCCTGTGGATCCTGGTGGATCCTATTGGATCCTACTGGATCCTATTGGATCCTATTGGATCCTACTGGATCCTGTGGATCCTGTGGATCCTGGTGGATCCTGATGGATCCTATTGGATCCTAGTGGATCCTGATGGATCCTAATGGATCATAGTGGATCCTAATGGATCATAGTGGAACCTGATGAATTGTAGAATAAATTATTTCAAGCGTACAGAAACGAGGATGGAAAAGTTGATCTTAATGGATATGAGAATTCTTTAAGGTCCAAATAAATTAAGTGAGAAAAGGGAATAGTGACTTCAGAATTTGTAACTAAGTAAAGAGAAAAAAAGATCCAGGATACCGAGATGATTATGTCTAAATTTTGGCATATCATCATGGATTCTGCGCATTTTTTTGATCCATCAAGATTTACGCTTCCTCGATCGGTTTGATATTATTGTAATACATGATGATTTCTATTGCATTCTAGTTATCTCTGATCAATTGAAATGGATTGTGTTGAATTATAGCCAATGGCGGTAATCTGTGACCGCTTTTGGCACACTTCTAGAAATATATTCTAAAATCTCTTAGGACTCTAGAATCCGCTTTTCTCCGTCAAACTAAGGATGTCAGAACTTAGAGCAGCCCTCTACTTTAATCTTAATCCTGATTTTCCTTGAGAAAGTGTGAAAGAACATTTTGGGCTCCTGAATCTGAAGATTCATGCCATATTTTATTCAGGATTCCGTTTCCAATTTTAATAATACTGGTTTGCAGGATATTTCATTGTGAAAAAAATATTCTTCTCAGGATCTTTTCAAGTTGCCACTCAGATTTCTTTATTATTTTAACATGATGGACCGTACTAGGATTCACCCTTGATCTTATTCAAAACCTTGATAGGGATTACAGAAAGAATATCGCTTAGATTCGATTATAGTTTTTGACAGAATTTGTTTGGGATCTCTGCGTCATGGTCCTCTCCTGGCTTACAGTTAAATAAGGCAAATATCCTACAAGGAATTTATAGAAGAGCAATGAAAATCCTCAGGTAGTGAATTCTGCTAAGATTCAATCACGATTCTATCTAATTTTCTTAAGCATTCTTCTTACGAATATCTTTTCTGAATATTTCCAGGGTTGTCTTAGGGTCTCTTCAAGGACAAGCATTTCGGATCCTTCCTAGAGAAGGTCAAGGATGGCCAGGATCTTTCTGAAAGCATATCAAGGTCAGACGAAGATCTTTACCATTTTCATTTAGAGTCTACTAAAGCTTGATCTTGAGGATTGTAACAAGATCTATGACTGATCTGGTTCAGGATTTTGAATAAAATTATGAAATGTTTCCATCAAAATCCTTAACAGTTCCTATTTAAGATTCTTCGAATATTTTTGAATCTTTGAATCTCAAAAACTTAAATTGTGCTTGTTAAATAAAATTTTAACAGTAACTATACTAAAATGACAATGAAGAATTTGCAATGTGTTTTGTTCCGGTTCTGACAGGAATGTAGAAGATCAAGAAGGTACCTGAATTTCATTCTAATATTCCTTTGTATCTATGTGTCAGTGAATGGAAGAAATCTGACAGAATTTTTGAAGATTTCTCGTCAAAGATTTTTAATATTTATCTTCAATACTGCATGACATTTACAGCATGGAACTCAGTTATTTCTTGAATTTTATTTTCATATAAAACTTGCAAACTCATTAAAATGGAGATTTTAATATCAGTTTAACTGTTGCACTAACTTTTTCTTAAAAAAGCTTTTAGTAAAGGACGAGTACTTCAATAAAACTTGTACTGGATTTTATTTATTCGTGCTAATCAGAAAAATATCTTTTTATTCAAATTGAAATCAACCAGTCATACTAGAGTTTTATGATAAGTAATCAATAGATTAAGTTTATATTGAATTTTTGTTCAAATAACTTATGTTTGCATAAAGTTCAAATACAAGTTAATAGTTCAGAAGGAATTCGAGATACAGAAGCTTTGAGTTAAATTAAATAGCATGGTACAGTCTACTGCGGTGAACTAATCAGTTTTTTAACTGAACATATAGAAATCAATAATGTGCGTTCATTTCTCTTTTCTGCTTAGAGAATCCTGGAAAAATTTTGACAATCCATCGGATATCATCCTTACAGAATCGAAGTGGAGTTCTGCGAGGTGCAATCAGAAAATATTTTCCAATTAGAAGCCATTGAAATTCTGAGAAGAGCTTGACATAAAGTCGATACAAAATGACTCAGAATTTCTCTAAGATTTTGTTCTAATCATAACAGAATCGTGTTTATTTCGTGTCTACACGTTTTTCTGAGGATTTGACCCTCTATTAACATATTTCTTGTTTTAATTGGATTGGTAAACTGCTCAGGATACTGATAGAATCCTGTTATGAACCTTGTCGAGGTCTTGAAATTCCGTGACTACACGGCTTTCTCAAGATTTAGCAGCTTCTTCGACGATATATGATTGGGAAATAGCAATAAACTGTTACGATCTTGATTGAATCTCAATTAAAATTCTGTCGGCATCTTAAAATTTTATGGGTACACACTTTTTTCCGTTTTTCGCATTTTCCCCGGAAAAAATGGTGAACCTGTGCAGCGCTGTTGCTGCTTATGTCAGAAATCTAGCTCAAAAAGACTTGAGCTTTTCTGTAGCAAAAATTCAACACTATCTAGTACAATCTTTTGAAATCCAGAAGAATACAGCAGAAATTAACAAGCATCATAATAATCTGAAACCAATCAGGAACACCTAAATCTTGATGGATCTTATTCTACCGTATAAACCGCAGAACTCATTCAGATACTCAAAAGTTCATCGGGGCCCACCAGGCTCTCAATCTCCGAGATTTCTTTTTTCTTTCTTTTCAAAAATTCTAGGGCCAATTCTTCGTCTGTTTACTTTGTTTCCATGTATTCTAATGGCTTCGGATGGAGTCCAATAGATTCTGGGATGTCTCAAGGTCTGTTTTTCCTTTGTAAAGTAGACTAGTCATAGTTGTATAAATAGCACATGGTGCTCCCATTGATTCATCCAGAACATATTTTGAATTATGCATCCTTATTTTATGAATCTGGTTGATTTCCTTGCTTTTGTGGCTATTCAGAACATTAATCTATCTTCATAAATGATAATGAGTTCTAATGGATTCTAGTGGATCCTGATGGATCCAAATGGATCCTAGTGGATCCTGATGGATCCTAGTGGATCCTAGTGGATCCTGGTGGATCCTAGTGGATCCTGGTGGATCCTGGTGGATCCTATGGATCCTGGCGGATCCTAATGGATCCTGATGGATCCCAGGATCCACCAGGATCCGCTTTTTCCCCCTTGGGAGAATCTAACGAGGAAACATTCCCAAGTGTCAAATCGCTTTTGAGTCGAGAGCAAGAACATAAGGTAGACCCCAGTAAGATATGAAAAACCTCAAAAAGATAGGTGCTCTTAGGTCTTCTGTCCAGAGTTATAGGCATTTTACTGAAATTTTAGCCTCTACCATTATAAATACCAATAAATCGAATAGTGGTATTTCGACCTAAGATTTTGCCCACAGATAGGTCTAGTTGTGAGTAGGATACCCTGAAAACTTCAGCTCAAAAGAATGTTTCCTTCCAGAAATATTAAAGTCTCAAAAAACAGAAAATTCTAGCATCTTCCGTGATATATGAGTGATTTTTGGAACTTTAGTATCTCGAGAAGGAAACATTCTTTTGGGCTGAAATTTTCAGGGTATCCTACTCACAACTAGACTTATCTGTGGGCAAAATCTTAGGTCGAAATACCACCATTCGATTTATTGGTATTTACTATGCTAGAGGCTACAATTCCGGTAAAACGCCTATAACTCTGGACAGAAGACCTAAGGGCGCCTATCATTTTTGGATTTTTCACATCTCACTGGGGCCTACCTTATGCTCATACTCGCAACTCAAAAGCAACTTGACACTTGGGAATGTTTCCTCGTAAGTACAATAAAAAGACTCAATAAAACGTAGACTAGTTGATGCGTGTGCTGGGTGCATCTGATAACATATAAAGGGTGTTTCATAATAACTGTCCCGGTTTTGTTAACAACAGTTTTTATACTTTTTTTGGACCGAGTGAGCTGAAATTTTTACCACATATATATCTATCCATGTTCTTTAATTTCTAAAACTTTTAGCTCTCTAGCTAAAGCTATTGACGAAATCCATTGACTGGACTGAAGTGTATTGATTTTTACATTCGATTCCTGTAGTATTTTTTTTCTTGAGTAATGATTTTTATTAGCAATCGATAAAAGTAATTTTACAATAATCTTTCTTCGAAAACGTAAGATATTACAAAATAAAACGAGCAATACGACCAACACTCCATGTTGAGTTGAGACTTTTTAGATTCAATACAAAACTTCTAAAATTTTTCCTATCGTCGTAAGTGATGGACATTCGTGTTGAAATTCGTTGTTAAATATAACAAGCTCTACCCATAAATATACTTTTATATGGTTGTATTAAATCTTAGTCATTTCCAATCGGACGATGATGATATTCGCTGACGTCTTCGATTTCTTCTTTCTCTTACTCTTTTTTTCTCTCCCTTTTGTTCTTTTCTGTTTTGTCGCTCATACTCTGTTATATAAATTTGTCTGGATGTGTATATATCAGAGACATATTCTAGGGATGTGAAGCAGTTAATTAAATGTTCCTATAGAAGACGAAGGCGTAGTACTGTTGCACCATATTTTTTCTATTTAACTACTTATGTCGTTTTATTTTTACCAATTGTTTGTTTTGTATGTTTACCAGAATTATGGCCACAAGTGTTCTTTTTTTGTCAACAACATCGAGGTGCAGTTGCTCCTATAATAATAGCTGCTTGAACTTGATTAGAAATTTGGAAACAAGCAAGTGACATTTTGATCTTCTATTTATGTCAATATAAAAGAGAAGATTCGGAACAAAAATTTTCTTCATGTTTTTGTGTAGCTTCAAAATTTGATTGATGTTAACGTTGAATATTTAGTTATTGTCAATATATTTAATGTATAGGTATTATTAATATTTTCTAGTTAAATCGACTACTGCACGAAGTGTGGATGTGAGGTGTGAGTGTGAGTAAAGAGAAGACCGGATGCCTCACTCACATCCACACCTACATCCTCCTTCATGACATATATTGAAACATTCGACGGTGATGAATCAGAAGTAGTTGTAAGCAAAGGATATTAATATATGGAAAAACTATCGTGAATTATTTTTTGTTTCGTAATGAATGAATATAATAAATTTTTCTTCAGATGATATCTGAATTCATTCATTAAAAAAATCACTATTGACATTGAAGAATTGATCATAAATTCATCAAGTAAAGATGATTTATTAAAAAATAAACGGATATTTCCATCTGCTTCATTTATTGTTCTTTGCAGCAGAAAATATGCTGTACTTTCTGTTCTCATTTTCTTTTTAATCTATTGTTTTACTATTATTTCTCTATAGAAAAAAATCAGAAGAATTAAAATATCAACATTTTCTTTTTAGATTTTCTCAATAAATATAACATTTTCCTTTGTGAATCAATAGATAGAATACAAAAGTGTGTTTATTTTTATTGTTATCTTCTACATCGTTTTGCTTTTCTAATTGCATTTTTCAAACACTTTCGAATCTGATAATTGTCAATCAAACAAAGTAACATTATAATGCTCTGACCAAATGAAATAGACATGAAATAGATTTGTTCTATATAAAGAGATATTGTTACATGATTAAATTGAACAATAAGAAAGACAAAAATATTAGGAACACGCATAATAATAAGAGTTATGATAAGCATAATAATATGACGAAAAATATGAAATTTACGTTTTTGTATTTGTCATTGAAATATATTTTGATGAATAACTAAACAATATGGATTTTGTTTGATATATATTAAAACTCGAATATAAATTCCTATAATTATTATTAATGGAAAAATATAAATCCATATTGAAAAATAAATAAAACCATATAGATCATGCATTGATATCTAAAAATGAAAAAAAATTTCAAACAAATCTTTTAAATCTATCTACTTGACAAATACGATAATCCATTTGAAATTTGATTCGATCACCAATTAGAATTGGAAGACCAAAAGTAAATGAAATTAACCATTGTAATAAAACAATAAATATAATAGAACATTTCGATTGAAGATATTCTCGTCGTTTAGATATTGTAGAAAAAAGACGATAAAATGCTTGAACACAAAATGTATGATAGAGAAGACCACATCCACTTTCTATAAGAAAACCACGCAATACACATAGTTTATCATTTCCATCACTAGTTAATTGATACATCACTTGACAAACACAGACTATATTAACAATAAAGCCAGCTATTATTGAATTAAATACAAGGAAAATAGTCATTGTACGACATTGACAATAAATAATCAGTACACTAATGAAAATAAGTGCACAACCAATACCGAATAAACTATACAACAGCATAAATAAATATGATAAAATTTCAAAGAAATCCATTGAGAATAGAAATAATGTAATAGAGTGAACTTCATGTTTTATAATCATTTTTCTTTTTTTTATACGAATATATCAAAAGGTAGAAAAAATTCCTTTATGTATCTGCTTAATATTAATAAATTGATAGACAACATACATCGATTGTCATAGAATAAAATAAACGAACAAAATAATGAATCTGGATTTTAAGTTTTCAAATATTCTCTTGTAAGAGTTCTTTTGACCTTGCATATTCAATTAAAAACTATTAAATAGAATATTTCGTTCGATTGATTTTGTCTTCGATCATAAAATACATTTGATAATTTTCAAAAATTTCAAAATTCTTTAAAAACAATTAAATATTCTTTTTCCTTATCATAATTGACAAGTATAATATGAATTAAAAATCAGCTTTGTCAATTATTGGTGCGAAACATAGAAATGATAATGAACTGGTGTACATATTAAGAAAAATTTTACAAAGATTGAATAAGAATATTCATTGATCGAATATTATTTTGACAAAATAGTTTTCGATTATTTGTTAGTCGGAACAAACTATCGAATAATTTTATTTGTTAAAAATTTGAGAATCTGTCTGTTAGCTAGCTGAGAGAGAGAGAGAGATCATTTGTAAGAGGTCATGACAGATAGGAATATCTGTTAAAAGAAGAAGGCATAGGGATTCAGTGTTATTATTCCACTAACAGGTTTTTCTTGTTCCAGTTATGTATGCATGATTGAATTATATTTTTACACTTGTGAATACGAATTTATTGCAAGCTTTTGTTATTGGTTTATTTTCTTGTTTTAGATATAATTTTTATTTGTTGCTTCTATCTATTCTATGATCGAAAAATTTTCTTGTTTGATTTCATAAAATAATTCAATTGTTGTTGATTAACATAACCTCAATTATGCTATAGATGTCTGAGATGTGCACCGTTTATGCCTTTATGATACCAACTGTAACACTTTATTGCTGGGATTTTTTTTAAAGAAATAAAAATCAAACGTTCAAAGTTTGTGGAAGAGATTTTATCGATGAAAAACTTCTCCTTTATAAGATATTGTTCGTTTTATTATCTGATTTTAATGGTCATTTGTTTTATTTATAAATTAAACCGTCAAAAATCTTGATAACAAATCGAACTAACCCAAATCTCACAAAAGAAGATCTTCTAGTGATCCATCGCTTTTAAGTCGAAACTATATGCATTATATAGGTCATAATGAGTTATAAATACTTTGAAAAGAGTTCGATCCCATAGCTTATTGCTGTTGAGATACTGCATCTTTACGATATTTTCTAAGCACAGTGTCGTCGTCCACCTCAGGTACATCACAAAAACTGTGTTTAAAATTTCGACTTGAAACTTTGTACAGTAACAGGCCTCAATGAGAATAGTTTATTGTGAAAGTTTCAAATGTCTTGGTTGTTCCTATCTGCTCACTAAAATGATTTTATAACAGTGATTATTACTGTAGCTATTTTTATATTGCCGCCATCATTTGCGCTGCTCCGCTTCATTTTTTAGGGTGCATTGTACATCTTTGATATATAATTATCTAAAAAAACTGAAGATTTTCATTTGATATTCAAATATAATGGTGCTAGATTTTTGAATTTATCGAATAGTGTCTTTCGAAAGAACTCTTGCATCATATCTACTCATTGTATTATCTAGATTACATTGAGTCAAACTATTTAGGCAAGAGCTAAAGTACTTGCGAAACTTTTCATCATCGATCCTAAACTTACGCAAGGTATTTCGCAATAATATATAGATAGTAATCGCAAGCACCAGGGATACGTGTTTTTTTTTCTATATAAAAAAAGCACACTTTATTGACTAATCCTTCATTCTCTTATTGTTTTTTTTTCTCTTCCAGTAGAATCATTTTCTCCACGCTGATAAGAGAAAAAGAAAGCAAGGTCATAGAATTGACGATCTAAAGATAAAAAAATATTTAATTTCAGATGCCAATAAGGCCATCAAATCCAAATCCATTGTTGAACGCTAGTAAGTGTTCACGTCTATTTCAACAGTAAGTAACTTTATTGTTTGTCTGACAATTTCAGAATATTAATCTATTTATAGATGGGTATTTCCGTTAGTTTCAAAATGTCGTAAACAAGGAACACTTGATGTTAACGACCTCTATGAACCTCTTCCTGATTGTGAAACAGCAGCACTAACAGATAAACTTGAAGCAAATTGGTTTGCTGAAATTAAACGAAATCCTAACAACCCAAGCCTAATTCGAGCTACATTATGTACTATGAGATGGAAACCATTTCTCATTGGCCTTATTCTTATTCCTTCTGTAGGATCCAATATTCTAATCGATCATTTTCATTTCATAATTCCTATTTGATAGGAATTTTTCAACATTATTCAACCACTCTTACTTACATTTCTGATGAGATTCTTTGAACCATGTTCTACAATGCCAGCTTGGCATGCTTGGCTTTTAGTTATGAGTACAATTTTTATAGCATTTTGCTCTAGTGTTATTGTTAATTATGTAAGTCTTGTCTTCTTTTTTTTGGTGAACATTATCATTGTATTCGTCTAGGCTTTTTTTGTAACTAATACTTTGGCTTTACAAATGCGTGTTGCTTATAGTGGTCTAATCTTTCGAAAAGCAAGTATCAATATGTAAGAAATAATTGACCAAATTTTTTTTTAAATTTAAATTATTAGCTTCTTCGTTTGTCGAGTCATGCATTTAATAGTATTAGTTCGGGTGAAATTACTAATCTATTATCAAATGATGCTACTCAAATTGAAATGGCTCTCTTTTTTATTAACTATTTATGGGTATGTTTACAATTGTGTCAAGTATCTTATCTATGTACTTCATTTGATTATTCACGTCGAAAGCATTGTTATAATTTTTTCTAACAATCTAAAAGATCAAATTCATACATGAGACAAATAATATATTTTAGAAATCCTACACTA